GAGAAATTAGCTTTAATTCTCTCTTTGATTTATTTAATGTATACTCGGCTTAATACATATATTGTTTATAATACACGTAGTTTTACATGTGTTCTCATAAGTTGCATACATGTATAGTTTAAAAAAATGTAATGGAAGAAAAAAATAATAAAAACTCTTTGTATACATGTATACATTGTATATTTATTTGTTATACATTGTAAAATAAAAAAAATGACTTAAATTACACTGTTTTTGTTTATCCACGAATTGTGCGATCCATCAAATCCCAATCACTTGACATAAACCTTGTCTCCTTTCCTGCGCAGTACTTTCTCCACGAGATACACGTCCGGATGAGTCGCGCGATGCAACTCGTGCTCATAGAATGCTTCAGCGACGGTTTTTCCGCGATAATCCTCAAGCAGATAGGTTATAGGATGAGTATGCTGCACTTTAACGATTTTAAACACCTCGGTGATCCAATTTAGCGTAACTTTTTTCGAAAACTGTCTTGTACTTGCTCACGCGTACCGAATCGCCTACTTTGAATTTTGCTGGACCTGCAATCTTTATCGCGCTGTATACCATATCCAAGAGTCTTTTGGCGATCGCGGGAGTTACGTCAATGGGTCGCATGCCGATAGTGCGATGCTTGCACGCATTGTAATTTGACACGAAACGCGGTAGCGCGTCGACCCACTTGTAAGTGCTGTTGAACATAAACATCTTCCACATATCGTTCTTAAGCGTGCGATTGAATTCGACGATCGATGTCTTCAACAATGTGTACGTGGAATAATGATTAACGTTGTATTTTTTCAAGAGTTTCTGCACATCGGCGTTGTAAAACTCCTTCTCCATATCCGTTTGCAAGTTTTTCGAACATCTTCCGCTCTCTCGAATTATCTTAGCGATAACGTTAGCCGTCTCGCTTCCGACCTTGCTCTTGAGCGGTACGGCCCAGGCGTACTTGCTCAGCACATCGATGACGATGAGTATATAGTGATGACCTCTGTTGAAACTCGAGTACGGACGCATCTCGATGATGTCAGCCTGTCACAGATCGTCATATCCCCGAATTATGACACGTTTTCGTGGAAAATTTCTCCTCGTCGGAGCGTGCAATTCCTCAACGAGTCGTCGCCTCTCAGAGTTAACATATTTTTCACGTCCATCGGATCGCATGTTTCGACGATGTTTAATAGTAAATAATATATACAATTTAAAATTGTTTTTTTCCTCACTGACATTAATTGACTGGCTCGTTTTGTCGATACGCGATTAATTTATAATAATGTCGGCTTCGCGAAGTTCCTCGATGATCGACAGCATCTCGTGCATGACAGTTGTCGTTAGTGTTGTTACCAACTCGGTGCGAAGCAATCGGAGTCGATCCACCAGTTCGTTGGGATCGTCCCAATGCACGTAATCGATCTTGTTGTCGTTTAATTTTATGGTGGATAGTATATTGCCAATACCTGCATTCTTTTTACCGCTTTTCTTACATGTAGATATGAGCGGAGCGATAATGTTAATGTACTTGTATCCCTTGTTGCCCATAACGGGATTATGGGCGCTATGACCACGTCTATGAGCATTCGTTGTTAATAGTATATTTTTATACGTTTGTTTGTCATCTTCGGTGAATATAGCCTCATCGGGAAGTCTCTTGAAGATCAATTCTGGTGTACCATTGTATCTCACATTGTCTATGATTATCGAGTCATCTTTGTCAACATCAAATTTTTTGTCACCGAGCATCGTACCACTTTTATCGAAATAGACACTGTACACATTATCGATCGCTTTATCTATGTCGTCACCGAGAAGAAGGCCCACGTACTTTCGTCCCAAGTCCTAGCTGAAGCACCTCGCGGCTTTCTCTTTGCGTTTGCAGACTCTGTTTGATGGTTGTTTCGAGTGACGGTTCACTAATGTCTTTTGTTTCAAAAATATAATACTTAATATAATATAATACTTTCATTTCGCACGAATAGCGGTATTGTCGGTGGTTTTTTAAATAGTTCTTTCGATGGTTTTATCGATGTAGATTCGAACGTGAATGAATCTGACGCGGTATTCAATTGTTTTGTACGCTTTTTGCGGCGATAATTTCAACCATTCAACATCCGTTCAATACGAATCCTTGTTAGTAGTAGTAGTATTGTCATCGTCATCGTCATCATCATCGTCATCATCGCTGTCTTCACGTTTCTTTTTTTTCTTAATACCGATACTCTTTACAACATTGGCTTCTTTTTAATTGGATGTGTTTCCTTGACAATCTGTTGTAGAGGTTCGACGATGGGCTTGAAACGTCTTTCCAACGCTACATTTTCATCTATTTTATCAGTTTTCAAAGTGCGATATTTTTTGCGAATCGAATCGCTCGTTTTCGCAATCTGTTTTGCTATTTTCTCGCGATCTTTGAGATTATCCATGTTACCTGCTTGACGTATCGATATCGATTAACCACGTTACGATACTGCGAACGTATTAAATTCTTTTCTGTATCGTATATCATTGATAAGCGGACTGTTCTTATCTATCACTAGAAATCCATACTCGCGCTGCCAACAATCGCGGCATAACGCATAGAATTCATCGTACGACATGTCGGTATTCACGTGATCGTTGTAAACTTGTTTCAAGTTAGTACCATCCTGTTTGAACAGAATCAGCAGGTTCGCATTGTCGCGTATCAGATGTTTAGGTATCCTTGCGTACGTCTGACAGAGATAGAAGCAATCGATGTTCGAGTGGCGGCCCATCGAAAAGTATTCTCTCACAGCATTTTGCTTATCGCATGCAACGTCGTCGAAGACGAAGATCGAATTGACGTGCCTCGCTCGGTGGAATGACGTCACTGTTGTTGGAGAACATAAAGTAGCCGATTTCGTCGATCGATGTCAACAAA